TAGGATGAGAGGGAAGGAGGGAGGGAAGAAAAGTTTTAAAGGGGAGTTGGTAGAACTTAAAAGGAGAATGGGAAGAAGGAAGAAATGGGGGAGGTAGCAAAGCAGGTCTGAGGGAGGAAGTAAAGAAAAAAATTAAGATGGGAAGGAAGGAAAAGGGGAGGAGATATTAAAACAGTACAAGTAAGTAGAGAAGAATGTGGATGAGAGAAAGAGGGAGGGAAGAAAAGTTTTAAAGGGGAGCCAGTAGAGCTTAAAAGGAGAATGGGAAATAGGAAGAAATGAAGGAGGGAGCAAAGCAGGTCCGAGGGAGGAAGTGAAGGTGGGAAAATTAAGATGGGAAGGAAGGAAAAGGGGAGGGAATACAAGGGTAAAGAGAAAGGAAAGAAGAAATGTGGGGAGGGAGGGAGGGCAGGAGAAAGATGGGAAGAAGGATGATGGAACAGAAGTAGGAAATAAGGAGGAAAGAAAAGTTTATAAATGATGAGTCAGTAGGAAAAAGTGTTACATAAAGGAGAGAGAAAAATTGTGTGAGAGGGAGAAGCCAATAAGGAAGTCAAATACAATTGTGTGTGAAGGGGATAAGATTAAAAAAAAAAAGTTAACAGGGGGGACCAGGCCGGCAGGGGAGGGCAGTTAGGAGTGACCAGGCTGTCAGGGGAGGGCATTTAGGGGGATAAGGCAGGCAGGCAGAGTGGTTAGGGCAGGCAGGTGAGAGGTTAGGAGCCCGAGGTTCCGGATTGCGAGAGGGCTGTCCAACTGCCAGTTTAGGCCCAATCCTCGTGGAATCAGGTCTAAACTGGCAGTGGACATCCCCCAGGGGCTCCCAGATTGGAGAGGGTGCAGGTCAGGCTGAGGGGACCCCTTCTCCCCACTCTGTGCATGAATTTCATGTACTGGATCCCTAGCATAACTATAATAAGCAAACTTTAAAGGCTATAGAAGGATATATCTATAAAGAATATCTTTGACTACAGAGTAGGAAGAATTATTTAAAGAAGACTATATAAAGAAAAACTGTGAAAGGCAAAATTGACAGATGTGACTAAATCAAAATTAAACAACTGTCTTCTAATGTAAAAAATACAATACACGAAGGAGAAAACATGAGCTACAGACTAGCAAAAGATGTATTTAACTCCCATAATTTACAAAGGTTTAGAATCCCAAGAATAGAGAACATCCTATTTCTTTGTGTACATGCCAGTAAGAGAAAGATAACCTAGTTGCAAATAGGCAAAATACATGATTAAGAAATGCACAGAAGAGGAAGTAACATGAAATGATACATGAAAAGATACTCAGTTTTAAAAGTGACCAGGAAAATGAATTAAAACAATGAAATAACATTTACCCTTCAGATAGATTTTTTTAAATGTCTGCATATGTACATACTAGAGGCCCAGTGCACAAAATTCATGCACGGGTAGGGTCCCTAGCGGCTGCTGGCCGTTGGTTGGGGCCTCCCTTTCCTGGCTGCCAGCTGCCGGCCGGGCCTTCCTTCGTCCTGTGGTGGTCAGTGCATGTCATAGAGAGTGATTGAACTCCTGGTTGGTCAAACTCCCGAGGGGACACTTTGCATATTAGGCTTTTATACATATAGCTAAGTATGTATCAAATTACAAATTTCATGAAAATGAAAATTGAATTATGTGTTACTACTGGGGAGGGAGAGAGGAATGGAATCTGGAAGCAATATTCAGAACCTTTAATAGGTCTGTAATGTTTTGTTTAAAAAAAAAAGTAGCTGAAGCAACTGTCTTATGTTAGATATGCTAAAGCTCAATGGTAGGTTTTCATTATTGTCTATAGTCTTTTATATGTTTGAAATAATTCAAATAAAAATTCAGTTAAAATTTTAAACAAAAAGGTAATTTTAAAAGGATTAGAAAATAGTTTTTTTTGTCATCTTGTTTAATTAAGAGTGTGTGTAACTGTGGGGTCTTCTTATTTTTCTTTTCTCTAATTGTGACACTTAATTTTTGTCTTTTGTCTACACTAGATTATATGTTTTCATTTATGCTTTTTATTGGCTTTTATTAACATACTGTTGCCTAATAAAACAATTAACACATTTAAAATTGTGATTATTACCCAGGTTAATATTACATTATTTTTGTTGCCACATAGAAAGGATTTTTAAACAGTTGTGGTAATTGTAAAGGTCAAAAACTAGGGGAGGTAACAAATTCATATATAAGTTTTCATACAACTATTCATTTTCATTATTGCTGACAATGATTGAAGGGAAAATATAGCCTTGTTTAATAATTGGGTCTCTTTTTACTTAGAGATTTCTGGCACAGAATTTTAAAAAATACATTTTTATTGATTTCAGAGAGGAAGGAAGGTAGGAAGGGAGGGAGGGGGAGGAAGGGGGGAGAGACAAACATCAGTGGTGAGAGAGAATCATTGATTGGCTGCCTCCTGCATGCCCACACTGAGCCCACAACCCGGGCATGTGCCCTGACCTGGAACTAACTGTGACCTCCTCGTTCATAGGTCAGTGTTCAACCACTGAGCCACTCTGGCCAGGCTGGCACAGAATTTTTTGGCAGCCTTTAAACTTCTTTGTTTATTTTAGAAATGACCCCATTTGTGAATTGTGATAAATGTTAAGATTAAGCAACAGTGAATTAAAAAGAAACACTCACAAGTGATTGTCTGGCTTTGGCAAATTTTAATGTGAAAAATAAAGTAAGAGCTTTGGGAGACAGTTTTAGAAGAGTCTGTAGGGACTCATTTTGGAGAGAAAAGAAATGGCATACAGTGGAAAAAAATGTTGAAAGAGTTTTTAGTAGTGAAAACATCTCCAAAGATACTTTTATTGAAATTATAATCAGAATCAAGATTAACTGGGCTTTTAGGGGTGGAGGTAATAGATATACTAGGTATCTTTTGGTTTCAGTAGAAGAAGGTATCTTTTAAAAAAGCAGATTAATTTTGTTATTTTATTACAATTTATTATTTACTAAATTGCCTGTATAAAACAGCATACCTCTTAAACCTCACATTTCTCAATTGTTTATGCTTGACATTTCAAAAACTTAAATGACTTAATGCCTTATTGATAATGTGTTTTTAATTTTATATACAATTTTCTTGGGCAGTTATTACCTATCTGTTGTACACAACTGATAAAGGATTGATTTAGAATTATGACCATCTCTACCTTTTGACTTGATTATATTTTTACCTCTTCAGAGAAAGAAATAATAGTGTGTTTGGCTTATAAGTAAAACAAAAGTAATAACAAATGAACAAAATTTTCTTTAAATATGAGAATACTTTTATAGTGTATGTAAGAATCTACACTAATAAAAGACAAACATGCAAATTTACCATACCTTCGCTACGCCTTAAGCCACACCCACTAGCCAATCAGAGCAACTATATGCAAATTATCTCAACCAAGATGGCGGGCGGCAGCCACGGAGCTGGAGCAAGCTGGAGGCTTGGTTGCCCCAATGATGGAGGAAGCCAAGCTTCCTGATTGCCATGGCCTGGCTCTGAGCTCCACTCAAAGTAACAAAGTTTCAATTATAGAAGATAAATAAACCCCAGATACCTGCTTTCAGCTGGCTGTGGCCATGGAGCTGGAGAGAGCACGAGGCTTCTGTTTCCCCTGGCGATGGCAAGCTCCCACCTGCCCTCAAGGCAACAAAGTTTCAATTATAAAAGGTAAATAGATCCCAGAATAAAAAAAGAAAAGAAAAAAAGGTCTGCCAGCAGGATGTCTGACTGCCAGCTTAGGCCCAATCCCCCAGGGAACTAGCCTAAGCCGGTAGGTGGACATCCCTGAGTGATCCTGGACTGCAAAAGGGTTCAGACCGGGCTGAGGGACCTTCCCAAGTGAAGGAATTTTCATGCACTGGATCTCTAGTCTATATAATAAAAGCCTAAGTGACCATTATGGCTGAACAACCAGAATGACTGGTCGCTATGATGCACACTGACCACCAGGGGGCAGACGCTCAATGTAGGAGCTGCCTCCTGGTGGTTAATATGCTCCCACAGTGGGAGCTGTGCTCAGCCACAAGCCAGGCTGACAGCTGTCAGTACAGCGGTGGTGGTGGTAGCCTCTCCAGCCTCCTCAGCAGCGCTAAGGATGTCCAGCTGCAGCTTAGGCCTGCTCCTGGCTGGCAAGTGGACATCCCCCGAAGGCTGCTGGGCTGCCAGACGGTTGTCTGACTGCCAGCTTGGGCCCGATCCCCCAGGGTGCGGGGCTAAGCCAACAGATGGACATCCTCTGAGGGGTCCCAGACTGCAAGAGGGCATAGGCCCGGCTGAGGGACCCCCCCGAGTGCACAAATGTTTGTGCACCAGGCCTCTAGTTGTTTATAACCTACACCATAAATTGAATTCATGTATATTTTAGAAGTAGCAGAAACCCTAAAAAGTTAATTTGTCCAATGACCATATTTGAGAAATTACTAGAGGCTCAGTGCACAAAATTGTGCATGGGTGGGGTCCCTTGAACTGGCCAGCAATCGGGGCCATAGGAGGTTGGCCAGTAGGGGGAGGGGCCGCCAGAGGTTGGCTATGGTAGTGCACTGATCACCAGGGGGCAGCTCCTGCATTCAGCGTCTGCCCCCTGGTGTCAGTGCATGTCATAGCAACTGCTTGACCGGTTGTTCGGTCACTTAGGCTTTCATATGTATAGTAGATGGTAACTAATATTTATTGAGGACCTATCAGGTCAGTATTTGCTACCTTTTACACTTAGTTTAATCCTCATGTCAACTCTGTGAACTAGATATTCCTGTTATATCTGTTTCACATTTGATGAAACTTAGACTTAGGAAGATTTAATATTTTGCCAAAGATAACATTTATTTGGTCCCTCTAATACCAACATGCTGGTCAGATGAGAAAACCAAGGACAGAAAATTCATGTTAGTGTCATATGATGAACTGTGCCTTACTTCGTGTGTCATTGGGGGCTGGCATATTTAGATTTTAGTTTTGTTTCTATTATTTATGAAGTATATTTTTTTCTTTAGTATAATGTTTCATCTCAGCAACAAAGAGAAATAATTAAAAGTAGGAGCCTGGACAGGCGGCTACAAGAACCAATAGTATTGACAAAGTGGAGACATAGCACCATTGTGCTGGACACCAATGACAAGGTAAGACTTTTTGAAAAAAATCTGCTGTGAATTTTGGCAAATTCTTTTTTATTTTCTCCTTAGCTGAATATCATACCTTAGTGACTCTTTGTCCTGTAGTAGATTTTGGTTTTGAAGTGTTTTGATTTTTGCACAATAAAGTTTGGTTTTGAAGTGCTTTTACACAATGGACCTTCTTATCTATAGTTTAATGATGTATGCATATACCTTGATACATTTGAGCCTAGTAGTTGACAGAGTGTTGTTTTATTTTGATAACCCTGTTTTCAAGTTATATATTTGTTAATTATTTGTCTTTAATCTCTAGAAAGTTTTATAGTACGGACAATTTTTCTCATATCAGGAATGATTGGAATCTTACACCCTATGTTTCCCTAAATGCTCTTTGCATAAAGTGCTTCTTTTATCAATCTGAGAAGTAATGTTCTGATTTCAAATAGATGAATTTTGATGCAAACTTCAGAATGGAAAAGCCATAAAGTTTTAAACTTCCTTGTGTTACATCTTTTCATTGTGGCTTCATTTTGGGGATGGAGTAGGTAATCAGTACAAATTTGCAGAACATTAGGTATACTAATGTTAAAATGTGAGGGTGGTGTTAACACTCTAATATTAAGGAAACTATTTTAGAAAAATATTTGTTGTTGGAGACTTTTAAAAAAGTTTACTATCAGGCTTCTCTTTTGACATAATTAAAAGGTTTCCTGCATTTTTAGGTGTACTACTGTAAACAGAATGAACTCTCCTAAGGTGTAGTTCTCTATATTTGGATACTTTCAGTCTTAAAGTCCTTTATAAATTATCTCAGTCAGTCAAAACAAGTATTTTCTTTAGTAGTACAAATGGCTGTAAAGTTATCTTTGTTGAATTAAAAGATTGACTTTTGTAGAGCTGTAGAAATATTTTACTCATAAGATGGACTAAAAGAATAACAATGAAAGTAGTAGATAAGTTTCTAATTTCTGCTTTGGAAGGTTGAATGTAGATGGCATATTAAAGGATTGAAATTCTGGGGTTTTTGCCATTGAAGAATGCTTGAAGATACATTACATTGAGATTAACCTGAGTAGATAAGATTCCTAGAGATTTTAATAGAAAAAGTCATTTTACTCCAAGAACCAAATTACAATGAGGGTATATAGAAAGCTCCTTCAGACCATGTATAAAGCTCTAATGTAAAAGCCATTGCAGAACCAACTCCACTGCCTCTTAATAAGGAACAAAAAGAATGATTAGTTTGGTGATGTGGACTTAAAAGTTTGTACTCCTTTTAAATTTTTCTTTCTTTTTTTTAGAATATGTTTGTATGTACTTTACTTTTTTTAATTAAATGTTTATTGTTCAGATTACTACATTTGTTCCTCTTTTTTCCCCCCATAGCTCCTCTCCACCCAGTTCCCACCCCACCTTCTGCCCTTACCCCTGCCACTGTCCTCATCCATAGGTTCAGGATTTTTGTCCAGTCTCTTCCCGCACACCCCACATCCCTCACCCCCGAGAATTGTCAGTCCACTCCCTTTCTATGTCCCTGATTCAATTCTACTCACCAGTTTATTCTGTTCATTACATTTTTTATTCACTTGGTTTTTAGATTCACTTGTTGATAGGTATGTATTTGTTGTTCATAATTTGTATCTTTACCTTTTT